ACAAGAATAAACTATTGGAAGACTAGTTGGTCAAAAAAGAGTAAGAAGAAACTGTGTTTCACATACTCACAACTGTAAACCTCCTTTTGACCACCCCTGCATAGGGTTCGGCAGTATCCTGGGACTCAGGCATCCATTGGGCATCTTGGAACGTGTCCCTTGCAGATAAGGGACAGGAGGAAGAACTACTGTAGTCGCTGCCTGTAAGATGCCTTACTGTTCTCTTGCCTTTTAGTTAACCAGTCAATTATACTGAGGTAACAATGCTTTGGATTAAATTCTCTCTGCCCAGATAACTGGTGTGGTTTCTGTCCCTTGATCAGACCCTTCCTGACACACACACCTTTGTGTCCTTTGACCAGACCACAGTGCCCGATGTCTAGGCACTCAACGTCAATAGCAATCACATTTTTTGACGCTTTGTTCCCATTGCTCTATGGGTATCCTCTCATTTTATCATTTAAAATAGTCTTATGAGATAGAAACTATTATCCCAAATAAAAGAAAAAATAAATACTGATATGTAGTGAATGTTAACTGAATGTGCTGCCAGTTCAGCAAGACACTTGATTCAACAGGGAAGTTGGGACCCGTGGGATAGGGTCTTCAGATTAAATGTTGGAAAACAACATGCACAAGCTAACGCATGTAGGTAATAACATACAAGGGAGAACACGCCCCATGAAGTCTGACTCCAGGACCAAAAACAAGGGTGGGCCGATAAGGTCAAAAGGCAGAGTTTCCAAAGGAGAGGTGATTGGCTGGTTTAAACAAGTCTTTAGCGTGTCAGAACAGAACTGTTTGGCTTGTAATGGAGCTTAGTCCCAACTTCATTTGTAGTTTTTTGGAATTTTATTGATTCAATAAGTCTGTTAGATTGACTCCAATAGTACAGCTCTCACAAGTAAATAACAATTTCATCACCAGGCTGAGTTGTGTTTTTGTTGTTGTTTTGTTTTTGCTGATTTTGACTAATTCTCCAGGAAGCCGTTACTTTAGCGCCTTCCTCTGGGGCCCTGACCGATTTCTTTCATGTACTTCATTAGCAACACAGGCTCAGAGTCATGTGGTAGGTAAGTCCCTCTGTGTATGCTCAAGACTCAAGGAAAATTTTCTTTACCATCTCATTCTTACCAATGAGGGACCTGGACCAGCAAGCAATTTAGTAACCTTCCTTCAGTCACACAGCTGAAGGTGAGAGCCAGGCTTTGGTAAGTATGGTAGGTCACTCACTGTTTATAAAGATCCATTACCTGGCGCCATTCTGCCCTATAGATACTGGTATGGGCCAAGCCTTACTGGTCAAGTAGGTCGACTTTAGAGTTGGTACATTTAACCACCTTGCTATAGTTCTTTTATGAGAAAGAAATCGAAAAGAAAGAGAGAGAGAGAGACAGAGATAGAGAGAGACAGACAGGGAGACTGAGAAAATAGTGTTGTTGAAATCTAGGTTAAAAATCTCAGATCTGCTTTATGCTGCTATTGTGAATTAAGCAAGTTACTTAGCTTTTCTAAGGCTCAGTTTCACCACCTGTAAAGTGTGGAAATAATACATATCTAAATAGGTATCCGTTTAATCTATTTCCGGTTATGGTTTTAAAAATAGCATGCCAATTTATGATCCAAGACAGCCCCCTAGAGGTAAAAGTAAAATACGGACTCCATAACTAAACCAAACGAAATCCCCCAAAGCCTTTCTTCTCAAACTGTCCAGCCCCAAACTCAGTAGCTTCTGCAAATCAAATGGCCCAATACCTGGTCTTTAGTGCTTCCAATGTCTTTGAATTTCAAGACCAGGCTTCCTCAAAGGAGACCAGGAAGGCTTGGCCCAGTCAGCTACTGCAGGGTCAAATGGCACCAATGAATTATTCCCAGAAAAGGCAAGGTACCCACCACCGCTGCACACACACACACACACACACACACACACACACAGCACACAGCTCAAATAGCTCTACCAGTAAGTTCCCCACATTTCAGAGAGACAGACTATCTCCTCTATTATGAAACTACTTTAAATAACCAGAAAAAAAAGGACAAGCTGATCAACTCATCTTATTAGGGTAGCATAGGTTCACAATCCTTTACCTTAAACATTGTGGAGTTGGGAGATTAGAAAGATTATGTAGTGTGTGAGTTGTATATAACCCCCCTGGTACAATCTGGACTGGCTTCCACAATCCAGTACATTAATGTCTCTGCAGCAAAACATACAAACCAGGATAAATAAAAACTAGAAATAGCTTCACATCAGGTTAGATGAGGTTTTGCTGCAAAGGAATATGATTTAAACATACCTATCCCACTCCCATTGCCAAAAAAAAAAACCCAAACTATTTCTAGTTTTCAGAACTTTTTGAATTTTGGAATTGAAAATAAGGGTTGTGGACCTGTTACCTAACGCCAACACCATCTGGGATGCCAGTGTGAAAAAAGAATATTTACCTCGAACTCATGAGAATGTTTGCAAAAATCCTGAAATAAAATATTAGCAAATAGAATCCAGCAGTGTATAAAAATTACGTCATAACCACTGGAATGAAAGGTGCAGTATCCCAGCTGTGGTTACAATTTCAAGTTGGCAATCTGACCCACGAGACAAAAATGATTTAAGCAGAAGATAAGGCACAGACTGTATTTTCACCTCCCTGGGAGGCCCAGCAGCTACCCGAGTATACAGGTTTTTTTGTCACTCACCCACAGGACATGTGCAGCCACCCCTAGGGTAGAGCCTACGGAGAACCTAGGTGTGTGGGGGTCACACTGACTGGCAGAAGCTGAGGGCCCTATTTTCCACCAATATTTTATATGGTTCTGGTTGTGTAGGCCCACAGCCTATGTGCCCCTTGACAACTCCTGTAAATCTACGCACACAACAAAGGAGGCAAACACAATATCCCCCACTTATCCTAATTCTGCAGTTTCCAAGGAAATGGTATTGCAGAAGACCAAGGTCAGTGTCAAGCAGGCATGCATCATCCAGGCCTGGTAATAATTCTCCCTGGATTCACAGAAGGAAAATTGAATACTAGTTAATCTATCACTGTGACTTGCCAATTAACTGGTAAAGGAGAGAAATCATAGGATCCTTTCAAAAATGGAGAAGTGTACAACTAAAGTTGACTCACAATAAAAATTATGAAATTAAGACTAGGAGGGGAATTTAAATTCATGAATGAATATTTACCTCAAATCTAACCTTTATACTTAAAAGGAAACTTTGGAAGTGTTTCCATTAAGTCAGGTACAAGGTAAGATCGCTCTCCGTAGCCACTACTGTTCCCCATTACTCTAGGGCCCCTGGTCAGTTTAGTAAGAAACAAATAAGAGTGTGAGAATTAGAAAGAAACAACACAGTTTGTATTTGCAGGTTAGATTACTGTCCAAAAAATCCAATAAAATCTAGAGAAAAACTATTTGAGCTAATAAGAGAGTTTGGCAGAGCCACTAGGTACAAGGTCAACATACAAAAATCAATAAATCACTACCTATAGAAACAAGAAACTAGAAGATACATAACAGGTGAAAAGATACCATTCTAAATGTCAATAAAAACTGTAAGTTATCTGGGAATATATCTTATAGAAGATGTGCTAGACCTCACTAAGGAAAATGCAAAATATTTTTAAATATAAAAAGAATATAAAAGAACAAATAAAGAGGTATATAATATGTTTACGTATAGGAATACTTGGTATCATAAAGATGTCGCTTATCCCTCAAAAGAAGCCTACAAATTCAATGCATGTCAACAAAAACTTATCAGGATTTTGTGTGTAACTGGCTAAGTGGGTTCTAAAATTCATAGGAAAGAGTAAATGTATGAGAATAATCAAGATAATTTTGCAAGAAGAAAAAGACAGCAGATATAAAGATTTATTATTAAACTATAGAAATTAAATGGGGTAGAATGATTTCAGAGCAGTTTAAAGGGGCAGAGAGCCCAGATACAGACCAAACATATTGGAGTCCTGGTCTATGGCAGACAGGGCACAATCTATGGGAGGAGTTTGGTGGGGTTGTGGGGCATGGATTGGATGATGCTGTAGGAACAATCATAGGCTCTCCATTTGGGCAGTTGTCAGAGAGAACACATTTTAGAACATAAGTGTGACCATGAACTGCCAGTCACAACCTTTGATAGCTTCCTGAGTTTTCCAGATCTTCCACATGGCTTACAGCGAGGGCCCTGCATGGGGTGGCTCCTGCCTACATTTCCTGAGGGATGGCATGTCCCTCACCTCTGTCCTTTCAGTTAGTTCCTTGAGTGAGCAGAAGCTGTCTCCACTCCCTGAAATCTTTTTCTCTGCTTCTTCCACTCTCTGCTACCCTTCCTTCAGGTTTCAGCTTAAATGTGACCTCAGGTAGGCCACAACCCACCACTCTATCTAAAACAGGTGGCCCCATAATTTTCTACTACATGTGTCAATCTATGATTTATGTATTATTTGGTTTATTCCAAGAGTCCGCACACTTTTCCCCTAAACAGCCAGGTAGGTGGTAGATATTTCAGGCCTTGTGGGCCATAGATCCCCTGCCCTGGTAGTGTGAAAGCAGCCACAAACAATACTTAAAGGAATGAGCATGACTATGTTCCCATAAAACTTTATTTATGGACATTGAACATTGAATTTCAATATTTTTACTGTCACGAACTATTCTTGTTTAAATATTTTTCTCAACTATTTAAAAATGAAAAACCAGTTTCACCTTGTAGGCTGTCCAAAAACAGGTGGTAGGGGTGGCCCGCGGACCGTAGTTTATTCGCAGTAGTCTACTATCTGCCGCACCGACTCCTTCGGCCCACGATTGTTTCCAGCAGCATCGAGCACCCGCAGCGCTGGATCATGCAGCTTCTTTCATCCACTTGCACCTCCCCGGGAGCCAGATGCTACCTAGGAGACGCAGGCGGGCTTGTTCTTCTCAGGAGTGGGTGGGGTCTGTGAGAGCCGAGACGCAGGGACGGCCGGAGCCGAGGGGCGGGGCCTAGGGAAGGGGGCGGACCTGGCGCAGGCTTCCGGAAGGAGAGTGCGGGAGCAAAATGGCCACCACCAAGCGTGTGCTGTACGTGGGTGAGCGCCAAGCGGGGTCTGGGCGAACCCGATCAGAGTGGGGCCGGGTGTGGGACCCTACGCGGAGAGCAGCGAGTAGCTGTCTAGGCTGGGATCTATGGTGGTATTGCTTTGCTTCTGGGTGTTAGCCCGAGACGTAAAGATCTTTCCGGTTCCCTTCCAAGTCCGCTAAGCTCTAACAGGTACCCCTTCATATCCTAGGTGCGGAGGACTAGTAGAGTGATGCTATGAGCCTCCAGATCCTCGCGCCCATTCATTTTACAAACAGTCACTTGCAGCGATGGCTCAGCCCTGGCCCCTTCCTCAAAGAAAGGGGTCCTCAGATTAGCCAGGTAGAAGTGAGAATAACTTCAGTAGCACAGTTTGATTAGCGCTTTGGTGGGGACAGACAACGATGACAAGCACCTGGGTGCGGGGAGAAATGATCCATCTGGAGAGGTGAGAGCATATTTTCAGGATGCGGTGACGGTGGAGCTAATGACCTGGATTTAGCCAGGTAGTCAAAATAGGGGCAAGTGTATTTACTGAAAGAGAGCCTTAAGAGTAAAGGCCCAGGAGGTGTGAAATACTTGTGAGCAAGTGGGTCATTTTAGGAGAACCCAGAGATTTGAGGAAGCAGGGGGGAAAAGTCTGAAGAGGTGGGCAGGGCTGCAATTATGAAGAGCCTCTTTATCCTGAGCCACTTTATCCTGAGCCACTTTATCCTGAGAACAGCAGGAAACCTTTGAAGGAATTTAAGCAGGGAAGTGATAGGTTAATTCCCAGAATCATCCTAGCTGGCTGTGTAGGGGAGAGGGAGATCAGTTAAGAAGCTATTGCAGTAATTCTGGAGCTGGATGAGGTTTCTACAAGAAGGGTGAAAAGAGCAGTGTGTTTTCATAAGTTGGGGGAGGGAGCAAATGAACGGAATGCCTGTGTACCCAAAGGACTGGATGGAATGACCCCTCCCCTTAGCTATAGGATGCTAACTGGGCTGCAGGGACTTCTCAAGAGAATAAAGGACAGTGATTCAGAAGGCCCTTGGCTTCTTTGCAGGTGGACTTGCAGAGGAGGTGGATGACAAAGTTCTTCATGCTGCTTTTATTCCTTTTGGAGACATCACAGATATTCAGATTCCTCTGGATTATGAAACAGGTGAGTCCTTTTACTCTCTTATGGTAAGAATCCTCCTATTGGGCAAAGAACTTAAAAAAATTTTTTAAGTCCTGTCATAGTGTATTATAAGGTTGGTATGTAGGAAAGTTCTGAAGGGTGGTGCCTCAGTAGGGCAGTATGACCATGATCTCGTAGTAGAGGGAATGTTTTGAGGCTTGTGGTTGTAAACTGTAACAGCACTCTTCGGAAAGTCCCATCTATTGGATTTGAGATAAAACAATTTTCAATAGCCCAGTTGGAAGATAGATTTTGAGCTACACGGGGCTCAAAATGGACCTGACTGTTGTTTCAAACTGTCTCCCGGGACCCTACCATACCTGCTTGCTTCTCTGCTATTAAACATGACAGCAGGAAAGCCTCACCTAATGATGGGGCCTTGGCCTCTGTCTGCCTGAGTAGATATTCCTTTAATAGACATCACTGATATAGTTCAGTTTTCTGTTTACTTTTGTTGTGACTTTTAAGATTGGAGTTTTAGGCCCAGCCCTGTCATCAGCCCTGCATGTTTCTTAGCAAGGTCTTTAAATTCTCTGGACCTGGGATCTTTATCTGTAAAAACAGTAAAATTATACTGGTTCTATAAGGTTACTCGATTAATTAAATTAACCCTCTTGTGCTTGGCCTTTCTAGGTAGATCAGCATTTTCCTGAGGATAAAGAATGAGTATCCTGATCCGGGTTTTAGGATTCGTGCTTTATTTACAATTGTTGCTCAAGATATATATTCAGAATGAATAAGTTAAATGACTTAATTTTTCTAGTCGCCTTGCTTGCAATGGTAAAGGTTTTAATTTGGCTTTGGTAGAAGAATGCTTATTTTAAAGAAAAGTGTTGTTTATTATTTAGCTATGTTCACTAAAAGATAGAGTGAATATAGCTTGAAATGTCTTTTAAACCCAGAAGAATTAAAGAGATTCCTTCTTCTGAAAGAGGGACTGGATAGCATTTCTAATGTCTGCATACGGCTTGTGACTGGCTTCCCTTTCCTTGTGACCGTCTCTTCTTCCCATTGCCCTAAACAGTAATTACTTGGTTTTGTTTTCCTTTTTTTTTTTAATTTTTATTTTATTTTATTTTTTTAGAAAAGCACCGAGGATTTGCTTTTGTTGAATTTGAGTTGGCCGAGGTGAGAAAGTTCTGTTTAACCTGTGTTTCATCTTTGGCTTGTGTGTCATTACTGATTGCAAAGGGTTCGGTTTCTGGGCCTTACGCTGACACTTCAAAGAGGACAAGAAGTGCTGTCCACAGAGAAACTGCCCACATCCCCGGCCAGGTGGCTTAGTTGGAGTGTCACCTGTACACCAAAAGGTTGTAGGTTCAATTCCTGGTCAGGACACATACCTAGGTTGTGGATTTGATCCCCAGCCAGGGCACTTAGGAGAGGCAAATATCGGTCAATCAGTATTTCTCTCTCACATCAATGTTTCTCTCTCTCTTTCTCAAATCAGTAAACCTATCCTTGGGTGAGGATTAAAAACAAAAAGCAACACCAACAAACTTCCCTCACACAAAGTGTAGACTGGGTAACACCGCAGACCAGCCAGGTCCTGGAGCTCTTGCTCTGCAGAGCTCCCCAGGGCTCCTGCCTGGCCGCACTGGGGATCACTTCTTACGCCCTCCACTAGATGGCGAGTTGCTGTACCACCAGCTCTAAAGTCAGCCAGGAAGCCCTCTCTGTCAGATGCACACACAACCTAGGCAGACACTGTAGAGGTGACTTTTTTCCTGTTTTGATTTTTTGTGGGGTTCTTTATGTATCTGTATGTTTTAGACACCTAAACATATGCTCAGGAGAAGCTAAACTTGTACTGTCTTTCCTTGGCAGGATGCGGCGGCAGCTATTGACAACATGGTATGGCTGGGAATCTTCATTCTTACTCAAGTTGGTTTGGTGGTACAGAGGGGTCCTTGTTCACATATCGGTTTGCTGAACCTCCAAAGTTACCAGGTTGCATGGGGAAGTAAAAACTGTCATCGTGTGAAAATGTTCCCTGGGAAGTAATCACTTACAAGATTAACCTTTACTCAAACATCCTTCCCCATTCAACAATAATACAAATCATAATCGTCCTTATGGGCGGATCTCTCACTGACTACCCTGTGTCTAGGATAATAAATTGCAAGCACTATGCCAACTGATTGCACAGTGCGCATATTTTGCAAAAGAGGCAAGATTTCATGAAGCATCAGACCAGGAAACAACTGAGAATGGAAATTCAATAAGGATATTGACCGGGTATGTTGCCGATGGCAAACGATTTCAATGCCTGGAGAGGCCCTTGGGGAAAATGATGGAGCTCTTGAGTGTTTGTGCTCTCGTTGAGAGCCCTGTGTTTGCATGTCATATATAAGGTGTAAAGATGACTGTTGATAGGACTTTTGTTGTTGAAAAAGAGACTGCAATTTCATCAGCACCTGCTATACATTTGTTCTACAAATTCATGCGTAGTTGAATTTGAACTACAAGAAATTTATTTTCATTACTTTCAGTTTCATCACAGTCAAACGTTTTTTTCCTTTACTTTTTACCATGAAATTCTATTCACTGCCCTAAATGGGTTTACAGTAAGTGGCCATTCCCGGTACTAATTATCTTTGGGTAGTAAGATTCTCCTTTATCCCTGGTCTCTTCTGCCTGTTCACTGAACATCGTCCTCAGCTCTCAGAGAGAGATCGCTTCTCACCATTTCAAAGCTGATTTTGACTTTTAAAGGTGAACCCAGGTACTTGGAAACTGCATTTACCCTTGTAACCCTGAACCTAGAGTTACCATCGGTAGCACAGCTCTTCACTTGCCTTGAAAGACAGGTGTGTGACAGCTCCGAGGAGGCAGTTCCCTGCAGCCCATGGGCTGCTTTGTGGTGGGCGCAGAGCTTGCTGTGAGGGTCTCAGGAATTAAGAGAGAACAAATCAGGATCATGTCTCAGATGTATCGGAAGCCAATGGAAAAGCTGTCTGACTCTCTTTTAACCTAACAAGAGTTTAAGCAGCTGAATTTGCAATCTTTTCAGAATGAATCTGAGCTCTTTGGACGAACAATTCGCGTCAATTTGGCCAAACCGATGAGGATTAAGGAAGGCTCTTCCAGACCGGGTAAGTGGGATCCCCCACAGATTCCCCATCATGTCCTCCAGTGTTGCCTGAGTTGCGTTTTTAGCCCTGTTCCATGGAAGTAGGTGCCAAGTGCCACACCTGGTGAACAGGAGTTGAGGGTGGTTCATGTTGACGAAGGGCACATGCCACTTTTGTGGGGAATAAAAAGAGTTGGAGCTTCTTAGGGTAGTTGTTTCCACGATAGAGAAACCCTGTCTGGTCTCTTACCTTTCCCCATGTTCTTGTTCCTGGGGTGTCCCCCCAAGGGCTGGAACTGGCAAGACTACAGCCCCCCCTTGACGTAGCTGTTTCACCTAGCCCTGCTGAGATCTGGACTTCCGAGTGACTTTCCCAGGGGGACCCTCCTGTACCCTTGGGAGTTCCCCAGGCAGAATCCTGTGGCTGAGCGGGCCTCGGGGTTCTTCCACTAGGCCGACGAAAGCAGCTAATTAGCAGTCGGCTGACAGTGTGAATCTCTTAACACTTGTTGGATTCTCCCCCTTCAGTTTGGTCAGATGATGACTGGTTAAAGAAGTTCTCTGGGAAGACTCTGGAAGAAAACAAAGAGGAAGAGGGGTCAGAGCCTCCCAAAGTGGAAAAGCAGGAGGTGAGATCAAAGGCGCGTGCTTCTGGAGGGGAGGCTGACGCTTCCACAGGAGATTGCTTTTTAACTTTTATGGAAATACAGCAGCAGAAAGAATGAAGAACGAACCCTTAGTACTTTGGCGAAGGCGGTTTTGAGTGGACTAAAGAGAGAAGCTTTAAGCGTCTCATTCTCGTGCTGTGGGGAGTGAACTTGTCAGCCTCGTTAGCTCGGTTTAGGTGCTGATTAGTGATTGGCAGCAGAGGAGGAGGAAGCCCACCTCCAGCGAAGGGTAATGAGTGCTCCTCTTCACCCCTCCTGATCAGCCCCGCCCCCTTCACGCCAGCGTTTGACAGCAGGCTCACGGTACTCCGGTTCCTGCCCTGATGTAGCAGAGTCAGGTCAGGGTGGAGATGCCACCCCCTGCCATCTCTGCACGGGTTCAAGGTCCCCCTTTCTCAGAGTGTGCCACTTCCACACTTTCTCCTGGTTCTCAGCAGCCTCTCCGATCATTGCTTCTCGGGCTTTTCCCTCCCCTCCTCATGAATATTGCTGCTTTCTTGGCTTTCACAGCATGCTTTCTTCTTTTGGCCAAAGTGGTAGCAGTCAGTTGGCTCTTTCGCAGCCTCTCCTGTGAAACAGAGACTTTCATGGTCTCTGTGTCTAGTGTTGAGCCTCCGACACTGTGCTGCAAGTCTCACGGGCACCTCAAATTTGCCTAAACGGCTGCTCTCCTTCTCTGATCCTGTTCTTCCTGTATTCATTCCCAAGCTGCTAATTTTCCATCATCCATCCACACATTGACCCGAGCCAGAAATTCTGGTACAAAACAGCAAATAAATTGTTACCCTCATGGTCAAAGGAATAACCCTGGATCGTCTAGACCCCCCTTTGAAACAGAGACAAATGTCTCTGATGACAATATATCATCATATTCTGTAAGTCTTTCTCTGAAGTCTTCCTTGAATCCCTCCTCCCGATTGTCCCGTTGTCCTGATTTAGTCTGTCATCTCATCTGGATAGTTACAGTAGCTCCCTAACTAGCCTCTGGTTGGAATCTCCCTGCCCTCCAGTCTTTCAGAAAGGCTGCTAGGAAGATCTTTTGAAAGCACAAGACCAGTCATCTAACTCTCCTGCTGAGCACTCCCCTGTGGCTCCCTGTCGCCTGTCCCAGGGGTGAAGCCCAGGAGGGACTCTCCAGGTCCTCGGCCCTGCCCGCCTCACCAGTCTCAGTGGCACCTCTCCACACTGCAGTCCCCACTTGACGCTCTTGTAAAGCAGGCTGTGTGTTTCCCTGTCTTTGCTTTCGTGTAGGCCACTCGTGTGCTTCTTGCCTCCCTTTCTAGGCAGCAGACTCGCTGTGAGGATGGGGGTCTTGGGTCATTCATTTTGTTAATAAAAATGTCAGGTGGGGTAATGTGATTAAGAGCAGGGACTGGGTGGGTGGCATGAGTAGCGTAGATTATTTAAAAAGATTTTACTAATCTTTTCTCAGAGAGAGAGAAAGAGAAGAGAGGGAAAGAAACATCAGTGTGTGGTTGCCTCCCACACACTCAGGCATGTGCCCTGACCGGGAACCGAACCAATGACCCCCTGGTTCTCAGCCCAGCACTCAAGCCACTGAGCCACACCAGGCAGGGCGAGTAGCGTAGATTTGAATTCCAGTTTTACCACTTAACCACCTCTGTGACCCTGGGCAAATTACTGAACTTTGTTGTGCCTCGGTTTCCCCATCTATAAAGCAGGGGTAGTAGTGGTCCTGATCTCAAGGATGGTTATAAGGATTAAATGAGCTACTATACCTAAAACATTTAGAATAGTATTCTGTACATGGCAAAGGCTATGTGGGCATTTGCTGCTGCTGATGTCGTTAGCCACAAACGATAGGAATGACATCTTCAGGACATTTATTAAACTGAACCACAAACAAGTTGCAAACCTTTGACTTTTCTATTGGAACAAATGTGACAGCTGTGTCAGATGTCTCCTTCTCCTCTGCTTAGCTTTGTCTACTTGGGTATAAAGCAAGGCCCCCTCGACCTCCTTCACTGTCTTCGGAGCCCAACTAGCGGGCCCAGGGAAGCAAGGGCCCCCTTGCTTCCATCGTAGCCAGCCTGTGGATCCATGGGGCTAAGCACAGCAGGAGGAGGTGGTGTTGCAGAAATGGGTCTGCTCACCTGGAATAAGGTGGGTGGGCTTGAGCTGGGGCTTGGTGGTGCTGAGAGTTGTGTTAGGTCAGCACAGTGTCATTCTGTGACCGCAGGGAGGTGAAGTGGGCTGACCTGTCTGAGGGTGAGTCACCTGATGAGATAACGTGCCTGTGGGGCGGGGTTGGGGTTAGATAGCGCTGAGGTCTCCTGTCACTGGGCGTCCAGCTGGGTGCCGTGACCATGGCCTCTGCCTCCTGCAGCCCCGCCTGCTCACTGCAGTCAGGTTCTGGGTGTGGTTTCAGAGAAATCCTCGTCCTCCCACTCGGGGAGTCAGGGAGTTCTCTCTAACCGAGCGATTTCTTCACCCAGGGAGAGCCCGCTGCAAAGAAGGCCCGCTCCAACCCACAGGTGTACATGGACGTCAAGATCGGGAACAAGCCAGCGGGCCGCATCCAGATGCTCCTGCGTTCGGATGTCGTTCCCATGACAGCAGGTGAGTAGGGCTCAGGTCAGGACTGCCGGGAGGCTGGCGCCCTTGACATTGTTTCTGACCTAAGTAGATTTGATCCTGCAGTTCGGTAGCAGACAAGTCAAGAGCAAGCATTCTTTAAGCCTTGTAGGTGCTGGTTTACTATTTTTGAATAATTTTTTTAAAGTATGAGTAAATAGACTTCTGGTCAAGATGGAGGAGTAGGTAAACACAGCTCACCTCCTTGCACAACCACATACAAATCACAAGTGAACTACAGAACAAGTCTCAGAACCATCAGAAATCGAGTTATCAAGTTAAATGGAAGTCTGACAACTATGGAACCAAAGAAACCACATCCGTCCAGACTGGTGGGAGGTGCGGAGACATGGAACAGGCTGGTCCCACACCCGTGTGTGGTGGATAAAAATTCGAGAGGACTGTCTCAGGAGTGAGGAGTCCCAGCCCCACACCAGATCCTCCAGCCCAGGGTTCCAGTGCCAGGAGGGTAAGTCCCTACAACCTCTGGCTGTAAAAACCAGTGGAGCTTGAGTCAGTGAAAGGAAGTACTGGATTCCCAAGAAGTGCCTCTTAAAGGACCTGCACACAGACTTAGACTCACTCCCTCTGGGCTCCAGCACCTGGGTAGCAGCTTGAAAGGCACAGGTGGTGTGCAGGAAGGAACTGAAGTGTCTGGCATCAGGGTGAGAGCTGGGGGACAACTATCTCCCAGACAGAAAGGTGGGTGGGGGCCATATCTGAGACTCCATTAACCTGGCTCACATAGTTTACTCATACAGAATTCCCGAGGCTCCGCCCTACCCAATTTAGGGCCCATCCAAGCTTTTAACAGTGGCTTTTCCACATGCATGGCTGGTCTTAGCTCAGGCTTCACATAATCCCAAATCCTCTCAAACAGGCAACAACCAGCCTCAGCGAGCCCCTAACCCCTAGACCTCTGGCTAAGTGGCCCCAGGTCTGGTACTAGCAGCAGCCAGCTGCGGATCACAGTTTGGCTTTGCCTGGGAACCTCCAAGCCCAGCACAAGTAGCAGCCATCTGCAGATTGCTTTGTAGTTCTTGCAGGGTGGCCCCACGCAGAACACAGGTTGGGTGCTGATCTTGGCCTGCACCACCCACGAAACCCCAGAGTCTGGGCTGCGCACCCAGTGGACAGCTACAGACCACGTCAGAGCACCACCACCCTGCCCTGTAGGCTCAACCAGATTGGCAAGAAATATTCAAAGTCGTGAAAAGCAGGGACTTACGCCGAGATTGCTTTATCAAGCAAAGATATCATTTTGAATCAAAAGCAGATAAAAAGATTCCCAGACAAGAAAAAAACTAAAGGAGTTCATCATCACCAAACCATTTTTATAGTAAATGTTAAAGGGACTTATTTAAGAAAAAGAAAATCAAAACTATGAACAATAAAATGGTAATAAACACATACCTAGCAACAAGTGAATCTAAAAAACAAACTAAGCAAATGAGAACAGAGACAGAATCACAGATACAGAGAACATTTTGATGGTTGCCAGATGGGAAGCGGGGGGTGTGGGGGATGGGGGAAGGGGTGAGGGGATTGAGAAGTACAAATAGGTAGTTACAGAATAGCCACGGGGATGTAGAGTACAGTACAGGGGATGGAGTAGCCGAAGAGCTTATACACATGACCCGTGGACGTGAACAGTGTCCGTGGGGGGATGGCCTGAGGGAGTGGGGGTGCTGAGTGGAGGGGGACAAAGGGGGGAAAATCAGGAGGACAACTGTAATAGCTTTGTCAATAAAATATAATACTTTATAAATATACTTTTAAATATAATTTACTTACTTTTAAGAAAAAATGTAAGTAAACATGTATTCATAGTTTTAAAAAATACCACACACATATTTCAGACGAGATCGGGCGCGTTCAGGGTGGTATGGTCGTAGACTTTACACATATTTCAAAAATATTGAAGGCAGTAAATTTAAAACTAGTCTTTTCCCCCTTTTCACATCTAGTCTTCTCCAGAAGTAAGTACTTTAACTGTTATTATATTCTTTTCTTTCTTATCCATTTTATTTATTTATTTTTAAGCGTTCAAGTACAGTTTTCTGCCTTTTCCCACCACCCCAACCCTCCCCGCCGCCTTCCCATTTCCACGTCCGCCTTGTTGTCCGTGTGTCCTTTATAGTTGTTCCTGTGAAACCTTCACCCCCATTAAGTTACTGTATTCTTTCCAGTTAGGTAAATATTAAGTTCAGTTTATTCTTTTTAATCTAAAGATTATTATTCAGACATGTAGATTTGCAAATCAACTTCAGAAAGCCTGCTTGATAAACCGGCAGTCCCAGGTGCTGTCCCCTGCCCTGCCCCGCCCCTCCCATTGCTCCCCCTCAGAGGCGGCCAGTCTCAGCTCTTAGCTGTGTCGGTAGGTAACAGGTTTATGTTGCCACTTCCTGGTTTTTTCAGGACAGACGTTATCTATTGGCTTCCTACTTCAGAAGATAAGGAATTAGCTTTTAAAAATCAGCTTCATCTTCCTTACATAGTTACCACAATTTTGGTTAGATCGCAGGTAATTTTAACTATGTAAATAAGCATCATACTGTGAGAACTTTTGTGCATAGCATCTTGTTCTCCCTGGAATTCAAAATTATCTTGTTTTCCCTTTGCCTAGTTTTGTATGTATGCATTTATTCCTGATTCTCTCCCGAATTCTCCTACCTGCCTAAATCTCTCATCAAATTCAAACACAGCAGATGTTCTGTCGATTTCACTTTCCTGTAGTAGCCTCTCCTTGGAGGCTCGAGATGAGCTCCCGTCCGGGCCTGCTGCTCTCCGGGCCCACTCACAGCCTCTGTGCTGGGATCTGCTCTTCCACCTCTTATGTCGCCACCTCTGTTGTCTTTTTATTTATTTATTTATTCCCTCATTTCAGTAGAGAATGTACTTCTGCAGCTTCTGCAGAAAAGTGCTTGGGAAGGTAAGCTCTTTGAGACCCATGTCTGAAAATGTCTGCCTTCCCACTTGATGGACAGGTAGGGCCTAGAATTCTGGAAAAGTCTAATGTCATTCCAATGCTTGGTCCTTTGTACCAAACCTCTTTTGTTCCCTATCTAGAGCTATGCCATCCTATATGGTAGCCACTAGCTACATGTGACTGTTTAAATTATACCAGCCACTATACTGTGTCTATGAGTTTGTGTGTTTGTTTTGTTTTGTATCCCATGAGTGAGATCATGTGGTTCTTGTCCTTTTTTGTCTGACTTCACTTAGCACAATACTTTCAAGATCTATTTATGTCACAGATGACAGTATTTCATCGTTTTTATGGCTGAGTACTATTTCATTGTGTGTACATATGCCTCATCTTTATCCAATCATCCGTCAAAGAACACTGAGGTTGTTTTCACATCTTGGCCATTTAAACAGGCCTTCAGCCAGACTTCCTGTTTTTAGAACTGCCTTCACCCTCGTGTCTGAGCTTGTGGTGTTTCTGCAACATAAGTCTGGTTGCTTCTCACCTGTGCCAGCCAGAGTCAGCTTTCTTAGAGCTGTTACGACTCATCTGTTTGTTTTCAAGCTTTCAAAATTTTTTTGTTGCTGTTATCTCTTCTCTCTTTCTCTCTTTTATTTATTTTATCCATTTTTAAGTGTATAATTCAGTGGCATTAATTGCATTCACAGTGTGCACAACCAACACTTGTACCTATTTTCAAAATTTTTTCATCATCTCAAACAGAAACTACCCCACTAGCCAATGCCTCTTCACCCACCTCTCCCCCCAGCTCCTGCATCCGCCTATTCTAAATATTTCATATAAATACAGTCATGTGATAGCGGTCCTTTCATTCTGGCTTATTTTCCTTAGCATAATGTGCACATGTGTCAGCACCTCACTGATTTCATGGCCAAACGGCGCCCCATCGTGTGGCCACACCGCCATTTGTTTGGCCGTTCACGTGCTGATGGACGCATGAACGTTGCTTCCGCTTTCTGGCTGTTGTGAATGATACAGACATTCGTGATCCATGTGTGTTTAAGTCCTTGTTTTCAGTTCTTTTGGGTATGTACCTAGGAGTGGAAATGCTGGGTCAGAAGGTAACTTTAGCTTTTTGAGGAACCGCCAAGCTGTCTGCCTAAGCAGCTGCACCATTTACGGTTCACCCGCAGTGTACGAGGGTCCCAGTTTCCCCACTCCCTCGCCAATACTTGTTATTTTTTGCTTATCACAGCTGTCCTAGTGTCTGCGAAGTGGCGTCTCATACAGTTTTGATCCGCATTTCCTTAAGGAGTAACGTCAGCGTCTTCTCATGTGCTGTAGTGGCCATTTGTGTATCTGCTTTTGTGGAATGTCTATTCCCATTTTTTGCCCGTTTATTAACTGGGCTGTCGGTCTTTTTGTTGTTGAGTTATAGGAGTTTGTTATATATTCTGGGTGTCAAAACCCTTATGAGATACAATTTGCAAATACTTTCTCCCATTCTGTGGGTTGCCTTTTCGCTCTTAACAATGTTCTTTGATGCATAAAGGTTTTTAATTTTGATGAAGTCTAATTTACATATCTTTTATTTTATCAGTGCTTTTTGGTGTCATATTTAAGAAACAGTTGCCAAATCCAAAGCCACAAAGCTTTGCCCCTGTGTTTTTTGCGAAGGTCTTGTTCAGTTTTCCTCTGTTCAGCGTGGAGCAGAGCTAGAATGCATGTACTCCCTCCTCCTCTAGCCAGGGTCTCCTGTGGTCCTCTGTGTCAGCGTTCGAATGAAAACGGAATCAGGTACAGTTTTCAGAATCCAGTCAGAGGGAGGTCTGTGTGCCTTTCCTGAGCACCTCTTCCTTTCTCCCCCCAGAGAATTTCCGTTGCCTGTGCACCCACGAGAAGGGCTTTGGCTTCAAGGGGAGCAGCTTCCATCGCATCATCCCCCAGTTCATGTGCCAGGGCGGCGATTTCACGAACCACAATGGCACCGGGGGCAAGTCCATCTATGGGAAGAAGTTTGATGACGAGAACTTTATCCTCAAGCACACGGGGCCAGGTGGGACAGGATCGGTGGGGGGTGGCGAGTGGGGCTGGGGCAGGATCGGACTGGCTGTTCGGGAGGAACACTGGGCTGTGGTGTGGCCAAGGGATCGGGGTCTGCAGGAGACCCAGCTAGCGGGCAGAGGAGAAGGGTTCAGCCCGGCCAGAGCAGAGCAAGTTTGCTTCCATTCATATGCTATCCATCCCCGCGCCGTGTCCACACTGCCTGTAGCCCCCAACTTAGATTCTGTGGTCTGCCATTATCAACTCTTTCTTACTGCTGAACCCCACTGCCCCCTTCCTTCCTGTCAGACTGACCCAGTAAGCGATCACAGTGGTTGGTCCCCCGGCAGCTAGAGACAGACAGAGGGCTGTCCTGAGTGGTCCCACTCGAAGCTTATGACCATGGTTCTTCCGGGCCCCTGGGCAGACTTACTAGGTTCCCTTAGTTAACGCTCAGTCCCGACAGTTCCCTACCTTCCTTCACTCCTGACACCTCCAGATCGCCCTCTGCCTCCGCTGTTCTGCATCTCTCGTTCCCACCCTGACTTCCCTCCAAGTACAGGGGATGGGCTGTCTCCCCGCGCCATCCCCTCTCCCCTACTTAGGGACCCGGCTTCTGCGGTTGTTCCTCCCCTTCCCCCTGCTGTCTTGGACACCCCATTCCCCTGCTCCGCCAGAGCCACCATCAACATAAAAATGTGGCATCAGCCAAAAATCATCCTTCGACTTTTGCCCACCGCCCCCCTCCCCTACCACATCCCACCCCAGCTCTCACCCATGTCTTTGGTCCCTTTTCTAAGCAAACTTTTTTATTTTTAAGCGTTTATTATTTATCTTTAGAGGGGAAGGGAAGGAGAGAGGAAGAGAATCATCAATGTACTGTTGCCTTTCATGCGTCCTCTGCTGGGAAGTGGCCTGCAGGGAACTGGCTTGCAACCCAGCATGTGCCCTGACTGGGAATCGAACCTCGATTGTCTGGTTTGCAGGCCCGTGCTCAATCCACTGAGCTACACCAGCCAGGGCTCTAAGCAAACTTCTTGAAAAAGTTCTGTAGACTCCCTGTTTTCCCTTGTCCCCATACCGCTCTAGCCAGACTTCTGGCCCCACCGACCTATCCACTCTTGGGAAAGATGCCAATAGCTGGTTGTCGCCTAATCTTACTGCGCCTCCCCGCGGCGTTTACACTCCTAGCCTGTGCTCCTCGGCTGGCGGGACTCCTCCCTCTTCTGGTTTGTTTCCCTTTTATCCACTTGGCTCCTTTTTCTCAGTCTTTGCTGTCTCCTCCTTTAACTGACCCTGAAAAATCAGAGGGGCTCGGTGCCATCCTTCCTGTTCTCCATGGAAGCCTGGTGTCGTCCATCGTCCCTGTTTTCTAACCGATTGTTTGTAGTGCGGCTCTTTGCTCTGCTGAAGCCTCTGTAGACTGTGTATCCTGCCTCCCCACATAATTACTTCACAAACCAAGTTTCAGTCACTCACTGAGAAGTCCGTACTGTTCTGGACTAATGGAACACCGAAGGACAGTAAGTAGCTGCAGGAGGAGACTGTGGGTTTCCGCACGCAAACGTTCCAGCACGACCCACTCACGGGTGACAGCGACTGTTTGGGCGCAGCGACTAGAAGGGCGGCTGGGCAGGCGGACCGGCAGCCTGGACGCCACGAGCAGTATTGCTGTTGGCGACGTGATTTTGTGGAGTGGTAAACACAGCTGGTTACGTTCTGAATTAAACAGAACAGTAGTCTCTCACTTTACCTAGTAGTTGCAAATAACAACTTTGGGCCTAAATGCATAATGGAATGAGGTTGTAGGGACAGATAATTGTAAACAGATCTTCCACACCCTTGTCTGGCAGGACATTTGAGAGTCTCAGAGGAGGTGGGACAATTTTTTTTATTAAGTGGGATATTTCAGAGCACCTAGCATTTCAGGGCCCCCCACTAATGCCAGTAACACCCCATAACATTTCTAATGGTCAAAAACACTTAAACTTCCGAAGGACCCCTAGGCGTGGGACCCCCCCCCCTCTGAGAACCACCGGCCCAGGCCCACTCCAGGCCCCAGGCCGCAGTCACGTCCCCGCTGCTGCTCCCACAGTCCGTCTCCGCCCGACTCCTGTCCTCTCCCCTCACACCCCCACGGCTTCACACGCCCCACAGCTCGTGCTCTTCACCCCACACTCTTCCTCCCCTCCTGCTGTTGCAGTCGGTGACACCACCGTCCACCTGGCCGAGGAGTCAGGCCCTTGGGACCCACCCTTGAGCCCTCTCCTCGGTCACCCTCAGGTCAGAGCCCTCTGTCTGCAGTCCCTGCCTGGCCCGGCCGCCCCGCACCCTCCTCCCCACCGGGGCCTTCCCAGCTCACCTCCGGCTCCGCTCTCGCCTCTTGCCCCTCGTAGTCTGACGTCGAGGTAGTCAGAGCGGTCCTTCCAGATGGAAACCCAGTCCCATGGTTCTGCGGACACTCCTCCTGGGGCCACGTCGCCCGTGGGGTCCGGTCCAGCAGGGACCCACCGGGGCCTGGCACCTGCCCACACCCACCGACCCGCCGCTCTGTGTCCCCACTGCAGGCTCGCCGTTCCTCAGACCCTGAGCTCACTCCCCCCGGGGCCTCGGCCAGTGCTGATTCCTCCCTGGAGCATCTGTCCCCGGTTTCCGCAGGGCCACCCCTGCCTCCCTTTGGGTATCACACACGTGTCCCCTCGTCCTCGGGGCCTGCCCTGGCCTCCCTCGAGTGGGCTTTCCTACCATCTCACTCGTCTTTTTGAGTCCAGCTTCATTTCTTGCCACACCCTTACTGTTTGAAACTGGAAGTTTCTTTTTCTACTTATTTTCTGTCTCCCCTTGAGAATGGCAGCCTCTCGAGCACAGGATGTGGGATTATTTTCACTCCTGTGTCAGCGTCTGACACAGTAAACTGCCGTGAAGGTAGGAGTCGGCGCGGAAATCAGGCAACTACGCAGCTCAAGGCAGGTGATGCTCTGAAGACCTTTATTGAAAGTAAGACTGAAGCTTCTATACTAGTCTAGCTGGCAAGTGATTTCAGCTGGCAAGCAATTTCGGATTCATTGGCTTTTGCAGTTACAGTTACTATGCTTCTTGGTCTGAACAGGAACTTGGCTGTCTGCCTTGGTTAGGCTATCGCAGGGGGCCTATTCTTATTCTGCGTTTTAGATATGTCTAAAATTGACTCGGGGGGTAAACATGCCCTCCACGCCACGTCCACCAGGTTGGAAAATGCTTCTTTGAAGTCTTGGACCTCCCCTCCTGACTTTGTCAAGGAAGGGATCCAACTGTGGACATGGCAGTAAACGTTTGACCATTGGAAACAGTGCTCACGGGCTGGTCTGTTCCGTGCCAGACTCCTGCTCCGCTGCAGTGCTGAGCGTGGAGGGGGACACGCCCCGCCCCCAGGGAGCACGCCCCGCCCCCAGGGAGCACAGGGTGCCGAGGCCCCACATGGAGAGCGGCTTTCTCACCACAGATGGGCTACAGCTGCTCCTGCTGCCCCCTCCGCCCCCAGACCTGGGCCCTTAAACTAAACTCAGACGTCCCCCGCCCCCCTTAGAGCCTCCCTGAGGGTGGCAGCAGCCCACTTGACGCACCCAGAGCCCCTGTGTGGCTGCCCCTGCGCACCCATGCCCTGCGCAGCTGTCTGCCCCTGGCTTCCCTTTGTCACAGCACAGTTGTCTTTTGAGTGACCTGCACTAGACGAGCTCCACCAGAGCCGGGACCCTGTCCCCAAGGCTCTACAGGGGTCTGGTCACAGCACAGACAGTATTTGTCGAGTGAGTGACACAGGACAAGCTGGTATAAAGTGATTGAAGCAGCCCTGATCCCTGTTCCGTGGACTGCCCCTGGAGTGAAGGACAGGCGTCCACATGGTCCGTGCGTCCCAGAGTCGGCTTGGCCGGGGAAGGGGACTGACCCTCGCCTGCTCCCCCCAGGCCTGCTCTCCATGGCCAACTCTGGCCCCAACACCAATGGCTCCCAGTTCTTCCTGACTTGTGACAAGACGGACTGGCTGGACGGCAAGCACGTGGTATTTGGGGAGATCACGGAAGGCCTGGATGTCCTGCGAAAGATCGAGGTGGGTGACTGACACCTTGAAGGCCTGCGGGAGCGGCCTGGAGGGAGGGGCGCAGCGGCTGGCGGAGGAGGCTGCGGGTGCTCAGGCTGGGCGTGGGAGGTGGGCTGGCTGTCCCGAGGTCCCCTCGAATCTTCACCCTGCCTGCGCGCTTTCTCCTCTCTTCCTCCCACGAAGGCCCAGGGCAGCAAGGACGGGAAGCCGAAGGAGAAGGTGATCATCTCCGATTGCGGGGAGTACGTGTGAGAGGCGCTTTCCCTGCGCTGCGCCTGTGGGCCCCGGATTCGTTCACCCGGGGGATCCCGCACTTGTTAAGCAGGGGTCCGTGACGTGGCCCTTCTCGGGGTCAGCTTGGAGCAGCTCCCCTGCAGGCCGGCCTGGGCTTCCCCTGGCTCTTTCCCAAGTGTGGCTGGGGAGCCGGCACGGGGCCCGGGTGCCTGCTGTGGATGGCTGGGCGTGGCCTTCGCAGGCCTTTGCTGCTGGCGCCTCTCGTGAGCCCACTGGTGTGGCTGTTGGACATTTCTTGTGGTAAAATGGATCATAATTTATTTTGCCAGATATAATAAAACCTCCCCCCAAAGTGATGACTTCAGTCTTTTCTCTCTTGAGTCCTTCAGCTGATTGTATGAGGCCCACCTATATTATGTAATCTGATTTCAACTCTACTGATTTAAATGTTAATCACATCTGAAATATGCCTTCACAGCAACATCTGGACTGGTATTTGACCCCAAACAGAATCCTGGGACCTAGCCGAGTTAACACATGTAATTAAAGAGCACAGTCCCAAAGATATTTACTGCCTGAACCTTCAGAGAAAGCATGCTGACCCCTGAATGAGACGCATGGTCCCACCCTGTGCTTAGTTCTGGTCCTACCTACTGTGGTGGCCACTGCTGGGAGCCAAGGCGGCCTGGCTTCTGGCTTCTCTCCACACCCCTTCCACGTTCTGGTTGGCTGGGGTGCTTTAAAAGATCCTTCATCTGTGCAGGGCTCTCAGCAGGGACAGGCCTGCTGCCCTCTGGCCCTGTGCTCCGGGGATGGACGCTCCTGCTGAGGGAGGGTGGCGTTCTGGCTCAGCCTCTGGCTCCCATGTACTCAGTGGACTCCCGGCCTTCGGCTGAGCACCCTCTGCTGCAGGTGGCCAGGTTTCTGGATGTACCACATGGTTACCCCTGAGCTCCCAAGAGCCCCTCTGAGCAGAGGGCCCGCCCGGTCGGTGCATGCCACAGCCACTGCAGGGCAGGCACAGCCATGGACAGGCCTGGTGAAGGGTGGGGATGATGGCGGTGACTGCAGGGCCTTTAAAGAACCAGGAAAAGATGTGTGTGAAGAATTCGGCACAGCCAGCCTCCTGAGAGGACCGACTCCTGCGAAGGTGACCCTGCCGCTTTCCACTCTTCCCTGGAGGCCTAGGGAGGTTGAGACTGATTTTCCAAAGTTTGGGGAGCTTGGCAGGTTTTGAGTCATTGAGCACCACTGCCCCTCCCAGGGGTCTCCGAGGGTGTCCACTGGTGCTACCTCACTGTGTCCACACTGGAACCCTCCACAGAGAGAGGTAAACAAGGATCGGGACTTGCCTGCAAAGGTCACCTGGGACAACATGGCAGAGCCGTGACCAAAAGCATGGCCTGTCTCCCACCCCCAGTCATAATGAAGTCCTGGGAGGTTTTCTGGGCCTCGTGGCTCAGTCCATGGCAGGGGGCCCAGGGACCTGGCCGGGCCAGGCAGCAGGAAGGGCCCAGAGCCGGGGGAATAGTAACCTGGCCGCATACTCAGCTACTCAGTACAGCACTGGCCCTCGTTGCTCAGGAGGGCTCTGGCCTGTGGGGAGTGGACACCAGGGCAAGGTGGGGCCTTTGCTACAGCCTGAAGGGCAAAGCTGCTTTCCCAGGACTGCCTGGCTCCTGCCTGAGGGCCTCCCTGTCCATGTTGCTGCTGTTCCAGGACTGAGGACATGGAACTCTGTTTCGCCAGTTCATTCCCTAACTGCTTTAGGGCTGGACCCGGGCCTCAGACTGGCCTCTGACAGCTGCACCGAGGGAGAGACCCAGGGCTGGGGTCAGTGCTGCAGCCGCTGGAGCTCTCTCCAACAGCCCATCTGCCTCCAGGTGCTGCTGGCACCTGGAGTTGTAGGGCCTACTTTTTTAGGGGTGAAAACTGATTCTCATAGAGTTCAGGTGATAGAAAACTAGAAAGCCATGTTTTCAAAACATATTTATTAACAGGGAACTTTTCACCATATGAGAAAGTAGGAGAAGCGTATCTTGAAGTAGTTTAATACAATACGAAACCAATCTTGTAAAAATACCTACCTATAATATGTGAACCTCTATGTTTATCCTAAGAGGAAAAAAACTAGAAGTAAATTAACAAAATATTAAGTGTTTATCTGAGTTGTAGGAGTAGGGTGACTTGAATTGTATTTTTTTGTTTTAAACTTCTTTCAAAAACTGCATTATCTTTATTGTAAATGAAAAACACGTTTTAAAAAAGGGGTTAGGTGTTTGCACAAGGTCTTTGCATAAGTAGGAAAACCTGAGAGGGACCATCCCTGTTCAAATTGCTCAGGGGCCCTGGCCGGGTAGCTCAGTAGGTGAGAGCATCGTCCAGATTCACAAAGGTTGCGGGTTTCATTCACGGTCAGGGCACACACAGGAATCCACCAATGACTGCGTGAATAAGTGGGACAGCAAATCGCTGTTTCTTTCTCTCTCTTTTCCTCTAAAATCAATAAATAAAAATATTTTGAAGACACGGTACACACACAAATCGCCGAGGCACTTGAGTACTGAACGCCCCCTACAGGACAGTGGGATCCCCGTGTGGGGGTCACCGAAGCTGCAAGGCCCCTGCTGCAGCTGGCAAGGCTGGGCACTTGCCTCAGGCCTTCCAAGCAGGTGAAAACTCATGTCCTGCCCCTGAATGATTGCAGTGTGTGGACAGAAGCCTAGCTCTGAAATAAATACACCATCACCTGTAGGACACATTCTGGGAGGAGGTTTAGTGGACAAGCATGGAAGGGGCACAAACTTAGCCAATTCATTTGTAATAGTATCAGCAGGTACCAGTTGTTAAGCATTACTAAGACAGACATTGTCCTAAACATTTATGTATAAATCTGATCCCCAGAACAGCCTGGAGGGAAAGCGCCCATATCCTGTTGTCTGGGGGAAGAACCAGGATTCAAATCTATTCGGCTCCCACAATCTATATTCCTGCTATGCTGCCTCTTCCCTATTTCTTAGGGATGTTTCCAGAACCTGTGACTTCCCTACCTTAGTTAGAAGACAGTTTGATATTGAGGCCAAGATTGCACTGCAAATATCAAGGCTGACATGCATTGTTTCTTAGTCTGTTTTTGCATGTGCCCTCCCTTCCTGTGAACTGTCAGGCGACTTTTCGTTGCTGTCAGTGGGTGTGCACTGACCACCCTTATTTATCCTTCTGGTCTGGATAAACAAGCCATGTGACTAGATAAACAAGCCATGTCCCGAGCAAGAGAAAGGGAAATAGTGGCTTCTGTGCTGTGTACCTGCCATCCTTGGCTCAGCAGATAAGATGCCTCATGGAATACAATGCATGGGCTTTGTGTTCACAATTATTTCACTGCCCAGGGCTTTTTCTGTTTGATTTCATTTGGTGCCTAGATCTCAGAAGTTGCTGGAAGTCTGGTGGGCAAGTAGGTACACAATGACTTACTGTTTTTCGACTGTTCTACAGCTCCTATTCATTCCTGCCGTGCACAGCCTGGTTGGTAGGGGAGGTGCATGTCATGCCTACAAACCTTTGGGTAATCCGACAGACGTTTCTGGTGCACCCCTGCCTATGCCAGGCTATTCCTGGGCATGAAAGATACCAGGGGAAGTAAAAACTTAGCTGTCAAATTAATTGGCTAATTTTAAATTTGCAGTCACCTAAAAGACAATCCTTGATGTTGGGAAGACAGAACCGTTACTTAAGTAATGGAATGGCAAATAGGTTCCATGTTTACCAACTCGTGGCAGCCACCTGGTTGGTTTGTGACTTGGACTTATGATGGCCTCCAGGGCTCTGCATTCAGGGTCACGAGGCTGCATCTGGGCTCAGGGCTCAGATGACGATTTCTTGGTTGAAGGCCCGCTGGAGATCAGGAAGTGCCCTGCCTTCATGTTAAAGATAGGAAGTGAGGCCTGCAGGAGGAAGTCACCTACAAGCCAGGTCTCTCTCCAGAAATTTAGGCCAAAGCTTAAATCCCTACACTGATGGAGAGCTCACTACCTTACAGTATGGCCCCATGGAAGGGTATCTTCCTCTGCACTTGCTCCCAGCACCCCTCCCAGGTCCAGGTGTGGAGGCCACTGTCCTACAGCATGGCCCCAGCCTCCAGTCCCACCTGTTCCAGGTCTGCTGTTCCGGAGCCTGTCCTCAGGGTGCAGAGTGAACCCCAGGGATGCGCGTCCTTGCGCACATGGGTCATTCTGCCTCTGTAGGCTGTGCCTGTGGGTTGGGGCGGAGCCCAGGGTCTGCTATTAATGACACAGTATTTCAGGGTTTGGGCAGCTGGACTCTGTCTGCTCCAGCAGGTAAATTACAGGTTTAGCAAGTCAGAAATCAAATAAACACTCCAACTGCCTCTGCTGCTCCAAAGAGAACAGTGGTTTCCGGGAACCTCCCCACCCAGCTCATCCTAATTACTGCCTGTCACTCCCCGGGGACAGGGGCCTTTTCTTTGGCTCCCAGGAGCCGAAAAAACAGGATGGGGCTCCTGGGCACAGGGGATGACGCAGACTTTGGTGACCAGCCTGTTTTCGACAACTTATGGGCACAACAGGTGCCGACAAGTCCCTGCCCTGGCCCCACACCAGGCCACAGGCTGCCCAGTGTCGCAGACACATCGTTCTGGGTCGACTGGATTGCTTCTTACCAGGGGACGGCAAAGAGTCTTTACTTCACATGCCAACTGCAACGTGCTGGCAGTGGCTGCCCGGAGCTCGTGCTGGTCACGCTGCAAGTCTATCAGATTTGGAAGTACAAATATCAAGATTGATTATTGATGCCTGCCATATAAAGGGAAAAGGAAAATGATGTCCTTTGTGCTGGGCACTGTCATCCTGGCCCACCCAATGTATTCTTGGCTCAGTAAAAAAATTACTTTCCCGCAGAGCTGAACGCCCCATGGTTCAGCGTAATGACTCACATGGGTCAGTAAAGCCCCAAAGATTTTTTGTTTCTCCAAAGGCAAAGTTTCAATGCACTGCATGTCTTCCCCAGAAAGCGGACAGATCAAGGACAGGAAGGCATAAGATAAATGCCATTGGCCTTAGCCCTACACCATGTCATTCATTCGGCTCTTTCTGGAGTTCCCTGCCTCCCCAGGGCCAGCAGTTTGGTAATTCAGATCAGCAAATATGAAACACGGAGGGCAAGTCCCTGCTCTTTAACAGAAGTGCCTGGCAATGCCCAGGTCTGCCCCTGAGAAGGGCAGGCAACCGGAGGTGGGCCAGACCTGTCTACATACCCCCAACCCTGTAACAGAGAGCAGAGGGCCTGAGGTGGCCACCTTGGGCTCTGGGTGCCCCTCAGGTCATTCCACATCTGTCCACAATCTGG